AATCTGAGCAGCTTGGTTGAAAATAACAATATGTAATATAAGAACCACTGATAATTCCTATTATTTTGTTCTGAAACCCTGTATCATTTTTTATTGTTTTTGCTTTGTTTTCTTTTGTCTATGTTTTTGGTATTTTGCTATTGTTCTTTTTTTATTATTCTCTTTAAAATAGAGAAAGAGAAAATGAAAGTATGGAGGCAGAATGGCTTGGCAATTGGTGATTGGTTTATATAATGTGCATCATAATGACCAGCTATGCTTCACAGTGATCCTCCCTTTCTAAGAAACAGGAGTAAGAAGAACTGCAACAGGAACTATTGCCTAGGCAAGTAATACACTGAAGCACATAGCCTGGGGAGGGGCCATTTTCTGCTACACCAAGAAAGATAGATTTTGCATCTTTCTTGTGGAGAAATGTTACTTTTATGCCAAAAAGTCAGGCATAATGCAATACACAGCCTGCATTAGTAAACTAAATTTACCCACTCCACCATGGATACACATTGACTAGTATATAAAATGTTCATGTCAATTAAAAGATAAATCATTTTTATTTTAAAGATAAAAGAATGACAACGTATTAACAAACACAGAGACATAAATAAAACAACACAAAAACAATAAAAGCAATACAGAATTTCAGACAAGTTGTTAGGAAATTAACAATGGTTACTTCATTTCATATTATTATCTTCAAATTGGTTACTCAGTCAAACAAATATAGGCATGTAAGACAAACAAATATACGCATGTAAGACCGATCAAACAGTTAAACATTAACTGTTCCTTTCCATAAAGCAATAGAAATTAGTAGTACAATTATCTTAGCTATCTTGTGTACACTTATATACATATTTTCCTTTCTTTTTTTTCCTTTTTCCTCATGCCAGTTGCTCTTTCCTTTTGAACAGTTTCTTTCCCTTTCACAATCTCTATTGTATCTTTTAGATTTTATTTATTCTTCCAGGTTCTTACACTAGTGAGACAATACAGTGTTTATACATGCTGTAAATAATTGAAAGACAAACACTTTAAATGTCAAAAGAAGCACATCCTGAAATTTGCTTATCATGTAATAAATCATGCAGTTTAAGATGACCACATAACTGTTTTATCAAGCAGATAAGGTCCTTGTATCAAGCAGATCTAGCCTTACTGCCTCCTCAAGCATAAAGGAACCAGATGTGACTATAATCTGAGGAAAAGTTGCTCATGAAAAGTGTATCCTGTAGGATGTAGCTCAGCATACAGCTCCTTGCTTGGCAAGCATAATGTCCTGAATTCAATTCCTGCTACCAAAGAAAAGAAAAGTATATCCTCAAGCATTTTAACAAGGATTCAGTGCTCTTCCCACTGAGGGACCCCAAACTGAGAAAAGATTCAGGGTTTGGATGCTGTCATCAAAAAGCACGTTACTAAGGTCGACAGCACTGTTCCAGGAAATTTGCTTTAAAGGGGTGGATTTATGCCTTGAATACCTAGCAGAGGACAAGCCTGAAGCACGGATTATTCATCTTCTTGGAACAGTGTAATCAGAGTTAATACCGTGAAAGTAAAGCAATTCAAATCAATTCATTTTTACCTTTTTGCCAAAGAATGACCCACCTGCCTTGATTGGAATAAAGAACACTTATTTGTATATTCAAATCTGTACATATTTTTGAGATCTGGCTGATGATTTGACATCAAGTGATGGTGCAGGGTTTAAAGACATGAATAGTTTTGTTATCATGGGTGATTTGGTCTTGGATGGGTTTCTCGGTTCTTGCACTTGATAAAAAGAACTGGGCATGGCACATAGTGGTTAGGAAACAGCATCAAAATTTAATCAGGTGACAATATTCTCAGAATTAGTGTGCTTGTGCTAGCCAAAGGGAATGGCACAAGTGCCAGGCACATGAGTTTAGTGATTTAAGATATTGCACAGTCTAGGGTGCCTCCCACGGGGTCTTCCAGAGCATGATCGGCACTGTGATTGACAGGGGCTGAGTCACATCATCTGTCTATTGCACGTGTCCTTTCCCATGGCACTCCGTTATAATCGGATGTATGCGATGTAGCCCACATGCATGAGCCATCAGTGAGCTCCAGGTGAAGAAAGGTTCGTATAGGTCATGCAGGGGTGTTTCGGTTACTTTTCTCTCTTTACTGACACAAAATACCTGACACCCACAATTAAGGAAGGAAAGGTTTATTTAGCTCACAGTCTGTGGAGGTTTCAGTCCATACTCGGCTGGCTCTAAGGCAGAGTGGCTCATGACAGAGGGCAACCCTTCATGGTGGCAGAAGATAGCAAAAGCAGCAAAGGGGAGGAGTGGTGGCAGACAGCCCCTTTCTCTCCCTTACATATGCAAACGCTCCACCCCAGGGCAGGTGTAGCACTCACACCCATGAATCAATCGTAAGCCGTAGAAGCTTGCCCCATGACTGCATGAGACTTTGGGAGGACATCCAGACACAAACCATAACAAGGAACATCCAGTATACATGCATCCTGTTTGGGGGTTTTGGAATTTTCTAGGGCAGGTTCAGAACTCTTAGTTTTACTTATCTCAGCCTGCAGGTAGTAACCCTTAGGATGAAGTTTGTGTATATGTACGGGGTTGAGTCCTAGAGCATTTCCCAGGTTCAGGTGAGTGGAGGAGAGTGGTCCAGCTGCAAGTGGAGTGGAACAGCCTGTGGCCTCAATTGTACTATCTGTAATTCTTTTGTCAAGTTCAGTTGAAGTGCAGAATCTCTGATAGGCTGACATAGTGCTTGACTCAACTGATGCAGAATTAATGAGCTATTCTATTAATGCAGTTTAGTATGCTACACATGAAAATAAGAGTCCTGGAGGTCACAGGCAGACTCAGAACCCAGTGCTAAAAGAGCCTTGGTGCATTCTCACTGGCTGTGATGGCTGTCTTGTTCTTTTCCTTGTCTTCAGGGCTTCTTGAGAGCCAGTCTGGAGCTCTTGAGACAAATTTAGGGCTTTTCAGGAGCCACGGTTCTTGAACTTTTTATCTGGCAGAAAGGTTGCGATTTTTGCTTGTGATCAGTTTATTCAAAAGAGAGGGGCTGGGGATTTAGCTCAGTGGCACAGCGCCTGCCTGGCAAGCATGACGTCATGAGTTCGATTCTTGGTACCGGAAAAAAACCAAAACAAAAACAAAAAAAATCAAAAAAGACAGTAAGGGAAAATGCAGAGATCTTTGTTGTGCTTTGTTTGGGATGAAGCACTTATCCTATTTCAGTGCTCTTTAAAGAAATCTGTGCTACTTTTAGCTTAGAAGAAGGTTTTATTGTGGTACAATGTGAGCCGTATAACTGGAAGTGCACTCTGAGTTAATGCAGCGGTGCTTGAGACTGTCCTGGGTAAAGTGGGGTAGGGTGACATCCACATTTGCTCCAATTTTGTCCTTTTGAACTCATCCCCATCCTCACACCTGAATTTCTTTTTTAGTTCTGCATGGTTAAATTATGCACATTTTTTCTGCTACTTGAAAGATTCCTTTCTCTTCCTACAAAACATCAGGAACAGCAAAATGAATGTAGCAAATAAAATAATTTACATTTCAAACTTGCAAAACCAGTAAACTTTTTTTCCACCACATACAGAAAATGATAGGTGTTTGAGGAGGGAGCTATATTCATTAAATCAGTTAATTATTACACACTGTATTTATAAACCATGGCATAATATTCTACTCCAGAAATATTTACAACTATAATTTATCAAGTTATACCTAAAAATAAAAATAAAGTATAAAATAATTTATAGGTAAGTGGTTAAATGTACATTGAGAAAGATATAAAAGCACATGTAGATCACACATACATTTGTCTGTATGTATGTGTGTACATATAGGAATAGGTGTGGATATGGATGTGAATATAGGTCAGATAGAAAAACACTAGCTTGCTTTAGACAGGCTGTTACACTTGTTAAATCACAGAAATTTACTTTTGGGTAACAAAATTTAAGGTTCCAGAGGATAGAGTTAGACATAGTTAGGTCTAACTAAAGTCCTATGTACATATGCCTAAAAGTTTCTATATATCTCCAGGTATTTTATTTCTATATGTCAAGAGAAAGGTGTTATGGAAAAACTCTTCCTAAGAATTCATTGCAAATAGAGGCAAATAGAGTACTCAGCAAATCTGTTTTACTATCGCAGTTACTGTGAAGTCGTTCTACCACACACAACCCTTGCGAGGGCCCTTTTCACCTCCGTGTTCCTCAGGCTGTAGATGATGGGGTTGAGCATTGGCGTGATGACCCCATAGAGCATGGAGATGAGTCTGTCTCTGGCAGGGGAGTGTCGGCTGGAGGAGGGGCGGATGTAGGTGAAGATGGCGGTGCCGTAGAACAGGCAGACCACCAGCAGGTGGGAGGCACACGTGGAGAAGGCTTTGCGCTTCCCTTCTGCAGACTGGATCTTCAGGATGGTGGAGATGATGTAGACGTAGGAGATCAAGGTGGTCAGGAAAGAAATGAACCCACAGATACCACCTATCACTAAAACAAGCATTTCAGACACGTAGGTGGATGAACAAGACAGGGCCACCACTGGTGGGATGTCACAATAGTACTGGTTAACCAGATTG